TACATTACATATATGCAGATGCACCATTCAACAGATGCTCTGGACTGCACTATCACATGCTACACCTTGAGGTATGTCTTCTTCGACACAGCTATTAAAAGACATGGGAAACCTCTCTTCTTTTATTTTACTTATTCACACAACAATTATTTTTAGATAGAGTTTTAAACATATTTTTTCTCATTTCTGACACACCTGTCCTGCAATCCATCTTTCAAAGTTCAGTAAGGTGAGGAATTGAGTTAAATGCACAAAACATTCAAGTAGCATTTACATAATCTACACATCTTTTGATATTAATAATATGATTGATTGATTTAGAAGACAAGATTTCAGTCCTATGCACACTTAGGAATAGCAGCCAAAGAACCAACTTTTATCTGCATTAGTCATAGATTGTTAGTCCTCCTTTTAGTCAGTGCCCCTGAGTTAATGAGGCCTATTCTGATGAAACTGTTTAGGATTGCTGCTTAAGCATCATCAGCACACAAAATAATCTATTGAAAGGCTTCAAATGTGCATTTGAAAATCATTACTTTTTAATGCAATTATTTATACAAAGTTGCCCCTACCTATTAGAACCAGCAATCAGAGAAAGATGAGCAAGATATTCATACAGGAGTAGCAGCTGTTGATTTTTGTTAGAATTCCATCTGAATAGACACATCTAGCATTGCCCCACACAGTTCCACCTCTACATGAAGTTGATTCAGCTATTCCTTTCTTTAAGTAAATTATTGAATTTGGAAATGAATTAATGTAGTTCTTTCAAATGAATGGCCCCAATAGCCACCAGTAAAAAGGTATTCCATAGTTAATCCATATTTTCCTCTAAAACTTTTTGTCTGTGTTAAAAAGAAAAAAAATACAGAATAACAACTTGGGAAATAGTGAGTGGAAGATAAGGAGAGCTGCATTCTTAACATACTATCAAGGAAAGGGAGGTAACTACATAATAAAACCTTGGTCTAGAATGATTCTCTCTGATTGGGGGGGGGGGGGTTTGCAAAAAATAAGGTACTTATCACCCCTCTCTATCCATTGTTTGGATCCTGACATAGAATATAATTGATGGTATTCATTTAGATTTCAGTTACTCACCATCCACTGCAGTGCAACATACCCACAGCAGGAGCAGAGCTGTTGAGCCCGGCCAGGGGAAAGCCATCCTGGACCCTCAGCAAGGGCTCTCGCCCTTTTTCAATAGCCCTCCTTTGGTTTTCCCTGGCCCTTGGCTAAGAGCAATCTCTCTCTCCTGACTGTTGCAAGGAAAGGCTTTGCTTAAGCTTTTGCTTCAAAAGTCACTCCCCCTTAAATCCTATTGCAACACACAGACACACAATCAACCTTTTCTTTTTTGGCAGAGAAATATGCAAACGATGTAAAAAAAAGTACTCCCCCAATTTCTCAACTCAGACTTTCCTGTTTGCTTTCAAGCCATACTTCACATCCGTGAATAGCCATGTCTAACCTAACAATCTACTACCCCCCACACACAATCGGTTTTGTTCTGTGGGTATTAACCACAAGTCCCCAAAAACAAAAAGAAGTGTTTCATAGGCAAGCATTTTTGTGTGTGTGTGTTTTACACCCTGTTCCTAAGAAGAGGCAAAACTGTAGCTGTGGCTGAAAGTATTAGCCCAAGATTTCTCTTGTGCCAGCATTTCACTTATCCCTTCCCCAGTGTCTTTTAACAGCAACACATCAATCCACGTTTCTGCTAATGACTGTCACTCACAAAAGTACAAAACTATATTTTCCTCTATGAACTGGAGAGCTTAGAAAATGAGGTTATTAAAAAAAACAAATCCTTTTTGTTACTTGTTACAGTACTATTTTTTAATTACTTATTGCTCTTGTTGCTTTTTTGCTATTCGCCATTACTTTAAAAAAAAATCTCATTACACCCAATGTGGTATAGTAGATAGATTGATGGAGTATGACTCTGGGAAGCAGGGTTTTGAATCCCCACTCAGCCATAGAAATTCATGGGAGATAGTTGGAAATGGTAAAACCACTCCTTGAATAGCTCCTTACCTTGAAAAACCCTATTAGGGTCTCCATGAGTTGGGTCCAACTTGACAGTACAGTACATAACTAACTAGGATTAATTAAAAACAACTGGGATGAAACGTGAAACTATCCTTTCAAAATCCCTCTAAAAGTGCCTTATGATCATGTCCTGTCAAATTAATTCTGAATTACGGCAGTTTCCCCCCAGAGTTTTCAGGTAGAGAATTCTCATAAGTGGTTTACCATTCCCTTCTTCTGGGGGTTCCCATGGACTGTGCAGCTTGCCCAAGGCCACACAGACTGGCTCTACCTGGAAGAAGCACAAGAGTGAATCAAACTCCCATTCTCTGGCTCTGCAGCCAGTTACCTAAACCACTGAGCTGTCCAGCTAGCTAAAAAGTCCCTTAAATGCCATTCAAAAGTAACTAGAAAACTTAAATTACAGCGGTAAAGAAATTCTGTTTCTAGCCAGTTACCTAAACCACTGAGCTGTCCAGATAGCTAAGAAGTCCCTTAAAGGCCATTCAAAAGTAACTAGAAAATCTTAGATTACAGCAGTAAAGAAATTCTGTTTCTCCTTGTGACACAAGTGTTGAATTTTAATCCCAGCCCAGCCTGATGCTCCCAAAGCCTTCCCCAGGACAAATGGGATCTCTAGGAAGCATATGGGTGTGTGTGGGAGGAACTGGAAACTTAATTAACATTAAAAACTGGATGAGAGATCCAGCCTTTTGCTCATACATGCTGCACCAATGGCATTTCAGCCATTGTCTAAAACTGGGGCTTAACACAGATGACATTAATCCCAGTTTTGTATTTCACGTGTTAAGCCTTCCCCAGGACAAATGGGATCTCTAGGAAGCATATGGGTGTGTGTGGGAGGAACTGGAAACTTAATTAACATTAAAAACTGGATGAGAGATCCAGCCTTTTGCTCATACATGCTGCACCAATGGCATTTCAGCCATTGTCTAAAACTGGGGCTTAACACAGATGACATTAATCCCAGTTTTGTATTTCACGTGTTCAGGGTAACATCTATGCATCTGATAAAGAGAGCTAGGTTCCACAAATCTCATGCCATGATACCAAATATTTCCTCTTTAAAGTACTATAGACTTGCTTGTGTTATGTTATGCTTCCTGCTGCCTGTTACCCTACCCCCCCCTTTTTTCAGCCAAGCTGATACATACAGTCTTATGCGATTCTGTCACTCCGAATGCTGTCTTGTCATGTTTCAGTAATTCAAACAGTGCAGTGAATTTAGCAAACCAAACTCAGCTGAGCAAGGTATGTGTTCCTACCAATATGGTTCCAATGTTTCAGCAACATGTTCTGTGAGCACGACGACACTTGGAAGCTTAAGCAATGTCCTAAGCAACTTTCACCACTCTGTTCCATTTCCTCATGGACGGTGTTCTTTTTCACAACCTCTCTTTATGCTTACTTTTGTGATGCCCTGCTAAAGTTTTCAGTCTCATTAAACAGGAAATGTTCATGCCCATGGAAGAATCAATCAGCTGGCTAAGGCTTTTTACTACACAATGCGCTCCAAGAACACATGCTAATCCATTCATCCCTGAACACTGGATTGGGTCAACCAGACCCTCATCTTCTGTGGATACCCAGGCATTCAGAGGACCACCATGTGAGCCCAAACCTTGCCTAGGCTCATTTTCATGATAATCCATAGTTTACAATTTCTTCTGGATTTATCCTTTAAAGTGCTCTGCAGGCAGTTAGCTCTTGTATTGGCTAATAATAGAGTGTTTCCTTGAAATCAGATGCCATTCAGCTCAGCTGTACCTATTCCAAAATAAACTGTGTGGAACAACTGTTCACTGCCCATTCTGGTTATGCTGATTCAGAAATGATTTCTGCAGAACTCAATAAGGCTTACTTCCTCTTAAATAGATTTACAGTAACATCAACCCCTTTTAGTCAGATGCAGGGTGGGGATTTGTCAGTTACTAGGAGATGTAAAAGACAACTAACATTTATATCTGTGTTGCATTCAATCATTCTTTCAACATATTTCAGATAAAGCGAAAATCTTCGAATTGACGTAAACTTTTGCAATAGATCAAGGAGGTGGTAGCAACAAATATGTGCTGATAATTACAAACTCTAAACATTTGGAAAGCAACGGTTACTGAGGAATTTTAGTTTCTTTTTTATTTTAAAGTAAAAATGGTGTTTCAGATTCTTTAAAAGCAAATGCTGTGGAAGATATCTAAATGCTCATTTGCAGCAAGTTTACTTGGAAGCAAATTCCACTGAATTCAGTACAACAGATGCTCAAATTACATATGCCTAAGAGAATTGTTCACAGTCAAATTGCAGTCATGCTTACCCAGAAATAAGTTCCATATATTTCAACAAACCTTACTTCCTGAGGACAGGTGTCTCAACCTTGAATGTGGTCACCTTTTTGGGGGAGGGGGAGAAAGATTATAGGTGAATAGGATTGACAATTGCTGCACTGCCAACCAGTGTTTGTTACACCAGGGGTTGGTAACTTCCAGAGGTGCAGGAGCTGCACATGTCCACCCTTCACCTAAGAAAGCCACACCTACTCCCCTAACTTTTACTGAAAATAAACTGTGCATTTTTAAAATGGAAAAAGATGCCTTTGCTTGCTTGCTTGCTTGTTTGTTTTAAAGATTAAATATCAAGATTAAAAACAAAATTTAAAAATTTAAAAACATTTTAACAAGCATTCTTGAGGCATGATTGTTGTGGGGTTTTCAGGCTCTTTGGCCATGTTCTGAAGGTTGTTCTTCCTAACATTTCGCCAGTCTCTGTGGCTGGCATCTTCAGAGGACAGCAGTGCTGTCCTCTGAAGATGCTGGCCACAGGCAAAACGTTAGGAAGAACAACCTTCAGAACATGGCCAAAGAGCCTGAAAAACCCACAATAACCATTAGATCCCGGCCGTGAAAGCCTTCGCGAATACTGTACATTCCTGAGGCAACTTACTGCTTAAAAGTCTGCCTGAAGAGAAAGTTTTTTTGCCTGATGATAAAAGGGGACATTTTATGTAACGGGCAGCCAAAACATCACCTCTCCGTCACAACTGGGCAGTGAGTCATCAGCCAATGGTGTGACGGAGGGTGGAACTTAAGGGGAGGAGCCGGTATAAAAAGGGGGGTGAAGAGTGTGTGAGGGAGATTGGAGATGAGAGTTTGAGCTGAGAGTTTAAAGTGATTAGTAGTAAGAGTGAGTGAGTGAGCCTGTCAGTGGAGAAATAGTCTGTGTGAGCCAGTGTTTTTATTAACAGTGATTGACTAATTGATTTTTACCTGTGATTTATCATTCTTTTTGTAATCCATAAACTAGTTTTTTGTTTTTCAAAGTTACACTTGTCCTTTTATGATTCTTTAAGGATAAGTTGGTGGCAGCAGAGATTTTACAGTAAAGTAGCAACCACTCTGTGAGGTTTGAGGGTGGCTGTTACATTTTAAAACATGGCAAGATTGCCTCAGTATCTCTGGAGGATACACATGGTCTAGAGGGGCGGGGTAAAAATCAAATAAATCAAATCAAATAAAAAATAAGCACTTTGAGGGGGGAGGGGAAGGACCTGAAGATGCTGAGAGGACCGATGGGTGCTGGGAGCATACCAGTTGGCTACTCGTGGTTTCTAACATTAGCGGGTCTGTATGCCAAGCTTTATTTTTTAAGGAAAGTCTAACCTTTGTGAAAACCAAAACCAAGATGTGAAGCAGAACATGCCACCAAGCTGTAATTGACTCAATGGTAATGGAACTGACTGCCCTCCCCAATCCAATCCCATCCAGACTGTTGAATATATTGTGACATTGTAGTATGCAATAGTTCCAGGGAAGGAAAAGTTACACCAGATTGCTAATGGGGTCCCTCTATCCTATCTCACATATTCTGTGGCATATAAGAGTCCTCCCCATTCCTTTGCCTTCTCCCTCTCTCTGTCTCTCTCTGTTTTAAAACCAGCTCCTGCAGGATGTCTCTTGCCAGAAAGAGGTACATTCACTCCTTGAACATTGACTTACATTCATTTCTAGAGATGTAAGCTGTTTGTAAGTGGTAAGAACTAAAACTCAGTTTGGTCTTACCATGGTGAGAGCAAGGGCCTTCTTTTCTTTTTGCTCCGACTGCATGGTATTGGCCTCAACCAGCAATATGAGGCATCTGCTGTGAAGGCTTCTGCTAGTGTCACCAAAACCCTAGACTTTTCATGCAAATGCATTGGACGACAATGCCTATTGTACCGACCCACCACCATATGTTGGCTGCAGATGCCTGGTGCC